CCCCCCCCCCCCCCCCCCCGAGCCTGTATTTATTTTTGTATAATTCTCTGGACGAGGGAGAGTGGTCATGAGCTGGTCTTGGGGCACAATTACCCAGAGATATATTTATTAACAGCCAACCTGTGCAACCTGCTGGAGCTTTATTTTTAATTTAATTTATATAGAGTACCTATTATTATATGCCACAATAGAGCTCTATGAGAAATGTTGTGTCTTCCTGTGCAGTGTTCTCCTGTTTGGGTCTGAGTGTGCAGGGTGGTCACCTGTGGGAACATCACAGTGAGGAGTTGGGGGTGGGATGTGGTTATGCCTGATGCTTCTTCAGCGTGTCTGTCCTTGAGGATCTGTGTTTCTTTACCTCATGGTCCTCACCCATGTACTCCTTTAATCTTTTACACATCCTGCCTGTAGGAACCTGCAGGCGTGTATTTGGATGGTAGTGGTGGAACCATGGAGGAATAGTGGTGGCTACATGAGGGTTTGGAGTCAGTCACGTGGCTGCAGTGGTGGCTGTGGTCAGCTTTAGATGTGGAGACATCAGTTGTGAGTCAGCCACAAGATTTTGAGGTTACTGAAAAAGGAGTCTTTGACACCAGTAGGGAGACCCCTCAGCCTCCAAGATAGGGAAGGCCTCAGAAAGGACAAAGGAATTAATGTACTGTGAAAATTTCGTACCAGAGTTGCTGTCCAGACATCGAATTTCTATTCAAAACAAGATACCCAGAAGCTGTGAAGGAAAGGATAGTTATATTTACTGCATGCAAATAAAAAAAACTTTGCATAGCAAATAAAACACCATATATTTATTTACTTCCCTTTACAGCACAACTTACTGAAAGAAATATTTACACCAGCTTTCTTCAGTTCTTCTTTCCTCCAATGCCTTTCTAAAATAGCCCCAATCACTTTTTTTGCCCAACCACTTCAGCAAAACTGCTGGTCATTGAAGATACATTGTGATGGCAATGGTTACATCTCGGACCTCATCTTACCTGGATTATTGGCAGCATTTGACATAGTTGATCATCTCCACCTTGAAACCCTCTCTTCACTTGGTTTTCAAGACACCACACTCTCCTAGTTTTCCTCCTTTGTCACTGGCTACTCTTCTTGAACAATGCCTAGCACATAATAGGTGCTTAACAAATACCTACTGAATGAAATAAATGAAGGAACAAATAAATGGGATTGGGGGAAATAAAGAGAGGACTAGAGAGCTTAGTTGGCCATTCAATGGCTACAAGCTCAGTCCAGCTCCACAAGTGTTGACTGACCACCTCTGCTCTGTGGACACAGAAAAATGAGCTCATAGTCTGGTGGGGATGACAGACACAGAATGTTTCAGTGCAGCATGGTCAGCGCATGAACAGTGATAGGTCCAGTGGGCTATGGGAGCCCAGGACGGGTGCTCATCCCGGTTCAGGGATTTTGGACGTTTTGGAAGATAGGGTGCCTGAATTGGGTTTTCAAAGACAAGAGAAATCCACCAGTTAATGATAGGGGAGGAGAGGGCAGTCTAGTCAGAAGAAATAGCTCTACAGAGGTCCAGAAGTGGAAACAGCTAGTGAAAACATTCAACACATCCATATCTCACTTGTCTTTCAAGGAGGATATTGTGATTTTGTTGAATATCAACGTCCAGACATGTTTATGACCTTCCATTGATGTGATAGATTGATCACTGTCTAAAAAGTTAACTTCATGCCAACTGAGTTAAAAAATTAGATAAAATAGACAACTACAGATATATAACTTACTAAAGCTGTCTCAACAAGGAATGGAAACCTTAAGTAGTCCTGTAACCATTAAAGTAACAGAACCTGTAGCCAAAAGTCATCCCAAACAGAAGCTTGGCTCAGATGGCTTGGCGGGTGAAACACGCCAGGAACAAATAATTCCAATTTTACAAAAGCAATTCTAGTGTGTAAAAAAAGAGGTCGCATGTCCAATTCATTTTATGGGGCTGATGTAGCCTTGATACTAAAACCTGATGAGTGGAAAAATAAGTTTATAGAACACTTTCAAGAACATAGATACAAGCCGGGCTCGGTGACTCAGCCTGTAATCCCGTGCCTTTGGGAAGCTGAGGTGAGTGGATTGCCTGAGCCTGCAGGTTCGAGACCTGCCTGGGCAAGTTGGTGAGACCTCATCTCTACAATAAATCAAAATGAGCCGGGCGTGGTAGTGCGCGCCTGTAGTTCCAGCTACTCGGAAGGCTGAGGCGGAAGGATCGCCGGAGCCCAGCAGGTTGAGGATGTGGTGGCCGGGAGCGGCCACTGCACTCCAGTTTGGGTGACAGAGCGAGACTCCAGCTCAAAAAAAAAAACATAGATACAAATATTCTAAAGCAAATGATAACTGCTTAAGTCCAATAGATTTAAAAAGTGTTCTATGGCCAAGCTGGATTCATTCCAAAACTACAATGTGTTTTTCTATTTGAACTCAGCATAATTGGTCTCATTAACAGATTAAAGGAGAAAAGCCACAGTCATCTTAACAGATATAGGGAAAGGGTTAGATGAAATTCGACATCTATTTATGATTTTTAAAAATCTTAGCAAATTAGTTAAATGTGCTTTCTTAGCATAAATGATATTGACAAAGATTTACAGTGAACTACATCCTTAGAAGTGTTGTCAGGAGCCGTGACATTGGGAACGTAATGAGGATGCCTGCTGTCACCATTTCTACTCAGCTTTGTACTGGAGGTCCTAGCCAGCACAATAAGGCAGGGGAAAGAGAGAACATATTTAAAGACTGAAAATGAGGAACAGAATTGGCATTATTTGTAGATGGTACTATTGTGTATGTTGGAGATCCAAAATAATCCATGGGTGAATTGTTGGAATTATTAAGAATTTAGAAAAAATTTTGGATACAAAAATCCATAAATAAAAACCTATTGCTTTTATATGCCAACAACCAACAAAATTTTAATTAAGATACCATTTATGAAGTACTTAGAAATTAATAAAAGGAAAGGGCAAGATCTTTTTGGGAAAAAAAATAAAACCCAGGCTAGGCACGGTGGCTCAAGCCTGTAATCCCAGCACTTTGGGAGGCCGAGGTGAGAGGATTGCCTGAGCTCAGGGTTTGAGACCAGCCTGGACAACTTGGCGAGACCTCATCTCTACAATAGGTCAAAAAATTAACCGGCACAGTACCACATGCCTGTAGTTCCAGCTACTTGGAAGGCTGAAGTGGAAGGATCACCTGAGCCCAGCAGGTCGAGGCTGCGGTGGCCGCAAGTGTGCCACTACACCCCAGCCTGGGCGACAGAGTGAGACTCCAACTCAAAACAAAACAAAAATAATAAACCTGATTGAAAGACTAAATAGATAACATATGTTCATCGAATGGAAGGGTCAAGGTTGTAAAACTTCTCTCAAAACTGTTTTGTAGGTTCAGTGCAAATGCAAATCATGATTCCAATAGATTTTTGCATGTGTGTAGATCATGACACATTAATTCTTAAGTTTATGTGGAAGTAGCTGGGCATAGTGGCTCACTCCTGTAATTCCAACACTTTGGGAGGTCATGGTGAGAGGATTGTCTGAGCCCAGGAGTTGGAGACCAGCCTGGACAACATGGTGAGACCTTGTCTCTATAATAAATAAAAAAATTAGCCAGGTATGGTGATACGTGCCTGTAGTCCCAGCTACTTGGAAGACTGAGGCGGAAGGATCACCTGAGCCCAGCAGGTCGAGGCTGTGGTGGCTGTGAACTTGCCATTGCACTCCAGCCTGGGCAACAGTGAGACTTCAACTCAAAAAAAGACCAAGACTAGCCAGGCACCCATACTCATTATAAAGGCATAGTGATTAAGATGGCTCAATGTTATTGCAAAAGTAGACATATGTAGACACAACCAGTAACCAGTGAGGAATTGGTTGAACTTCCAATTAATAGAACAATTGCTTATCTGTGTTGAAAAAAATGAACTTGATCCCTACCTTACAACACAAATAAAAATGATTTTAGGTGGGTTCAAAACCTAAATGTGAAAGGCAAAACCAAGAGCTTTAAGAATACAATATGACAGAATACCTTCGTATACTCATGGTAGAAAAGTTTTCCTTGAGCAAGACACAAAAGCAACCATAAATGAAACTTATAAAACATTTAATGGCATTAAAATTAAGAATGTCCATTGGTCAAAAGACACCATAAGGAGAGTAAAATCACAAGTGACAAATTGAGAGGATTTAATGGAATCACATATAATAAGAAGGGCTCAAACCTAGAATATATGAAAAACTACAAATAAGGAAAAAGTAGGGTGCCAATAGGTGGATAAATAAGTTGTGGTATATTTACAGAATGGAATGTTGTATCATGAGAACGGAGGATCTACAGCTGTGTGGAGCGATATGGATGAATCACATAGACATGATGGGGTCAGGAGGAGCCAAACAAAAGATTCCACACTGTATGACACTTTTACACAAAGCTTACAAGTGGGCACAACTCATAAATTGCCACATAAGTGGTGACATTGTAAAGAAAAGCCAGGGGATGATTATCACAGAATCAGGATAGTGTTTACTCTGGGGAAGGAGGGGTGTGGTTGGGAAGGGGCCCAGGGGACTTCTGAGTTGTCGATAATGGTCTGCTGGTGGACCTGGGTGTGGTTGTTCAGAGATGTGCAATTTATCTTTTTTGGTTTTTGTTTTTGAGGTGAGGACTCACTGTCACCCAGGCTGGAGTGCAGTGGTACGACAATGGCTCACCTCAGCCTTGATCTCCTGGGCTCAGGTGATCCTCCTGCCTCAGACTCCCGAGTAGCTGGGACTACAGACATGCGCTACCATGCTGGGCTAATATTTTGACTTTTTGTTGTTGAGACAGGGTCTCACTATGTTGCCCAGGTTGGTCTTGAACTCCTGGGCTCAAGCGATGTTCCTGCCTCAGTCTTCAAAGTGCTGGGATTACAGGCATGAACCATTGCACCTGG